TTTTTCCCAGACTCTTCTTCCCAGTCTCTTCTTCCCCGTCTGTTCTTCTTATTGTCTTCTTCCCACTCTTTTCTTACCAGTCTCTGCTTCCCACTCTCTTCTTCCCACACTCTACTCCTCTTTTTCTTCGCCCCAGTCTCTTCTTTCAGTCTCTTCTCCCCATTTGTTCTTCGCAGTCTCTTCCCAGAGTCATCTTCCAAATCTTTTCTGCCCGGTGTCTCTTTCCCATGTTTTGCTGTCACTCTCTTTTTCCCATCCATTTTGTTCGCGTTTCTTCTCAATTTCTTCGCAGTCTCTTCTCCACATCCTGTTCCTCTTTTTCTTTTGTTCCCCATCTCTTCTTCCCAGTCTCTTCTTCCTGGTCCCTGCTGCCCTGGTGCATCATAGTTAGAACGATGTTTATGCCGGTTCAATTGCCTTGCTCTGACCCCCGCCGCCCAACCACCTGTTTCCTCCGACTGCCCTTCGCACTGGGTGGGTTCTCCAACGGGCGTGGAGTGAACGTTTGTCTGTATTGGCCTGAATCGACAGCTGCAGGGCTCAAAGCTCTTCTGCTAGCTGCCTATATGGTGGTGTTGCTCGTACACCAGAACCACCACCGTAGACAATTCGCCTATGGCTAACGCGCAAAGTAGTCACGCCGGTCCGAGGCCCATACCTTTGAGTCTTGAGCGGCGGTGTGACGACTTATGCTCTTGCATCAAACTCGCGACAGCTGATATAACGCCGTCAAAAACATGCCTAGCTTTAGTAACCTTCAGACCCTTTACAAGTCCTTAGACACCAATGGCTCAGCAAGTGGCTGTCGGCAAGCTGCACCCTGAGCACTTATGGTGCTGAATCAAAGAGGCTCTTGTTCTTTTCATATCGTTTCTCTTCTTGTTGTTTCCCTTGCGCGGTCTTTAAGCTTTTCTTTTTCTTTTCTTTGGAATCGCGGAAACCGACAGGTTTACGAATGTCGAGTTAAGACTCCTATAGGGCCAAAGAAAGGTGTGCACACCGAATCGCCTAAGCGCGACATCTAGGCATTACTGGGCATCACTAGACCTAGTTGCAATGTGTCCAAGGCCTTGCCTGTTTTAAAAAGAAACCGGAAATCAGTCATTGCAAAAATCGGCAGACGTTGAGAGGTGTTGCCATTCGGGGTTCTATCTGGGTCAAGATCTTGCTGGAGCATGGAAGTGATTGTGAACTGTGCAGAAACACCGAGCGAAGTTCTTCAGACAGCGGGTGCCACAGTCGAATGTAACTCCCCCCTTCTGCTCCAACTAATGAAACGAATAGCATCCCAGGGTGTGAGCTTTGTGATATGTGTTTGTCTTCGTCGCATTCGTGCAAACTCCAAAAGCACTGCTGAACCTGTACGGTACTGTGGTGCCCCATGCGCCCTATTGCCCTATTAGATCCATTTGGTTTGTGACAAGTCCCTCTTTCGATCTGCAGCTCATCCGTTTGGATGTTCGTCCACGCTGGACCAACCACCGCCATGCAGCTCTCATGGATTATCGGATGGTCCGCCCCAAGGGCAGCGAAGAGGATAACCCAGATCCGGATCTGGACTTGGCGCTGGGAAACACATTCCAAAAGCCTCGGTTACACAAGTGCTGGTGTCAACAATTGTGGTGACCAAAGGCGGGGCCGTCAGGGTTGGAGTTGGGACCTTGTCACATTTTCTGGGATCAAAGAGTTTCTCAAAGTCCAAGTCAAGCCTTCGCAGTTACGACTGTTGCGCGTCCGCACCCCAAACAAGCAAATTCAGTGAGGTCATGCGCGACATAGAAAATGAATCCTCGAAGGGCCCTGCTTGTCGACAGATGAAAATGGGTGTTCAACTTAGCTGTCTAAATTTGAAGGCCAACAACTTGCTTCTCGAAAAGGCCCGAGTGGCGCAAGGTCTCGTCCCCCGCGCCGGTGACCACTGTCTGTCCATCGGGGGAGATCGCCAGGTAAAGAACCTAGCCGGCGGAGAAATCTTCAAAGTTCTTAATTGCCTCAAACAAGTAGTGTGGCATCAGCGTTTGAATGTAAACATGGAAACAGAATCTAGGGATTCAGTAACCTGCGTTTCTTTTGATCAACTACATCAAATCTGAACAATGGCAGAGTCCTCCCTTTGAATTCGCGCTTGGTGGCTGAACCGTTTGCCCAAGAATGTGCAGCTGAGGCCTGTTTTCTGTCCGATTTCACCCAATTCAAACCCTGTGACCAAGCAACAAACAACAACATTCTGCATGCCTGGCATTGGAACCGAAACAACCTCTGCCATGTCTCCGTTTTTGTGGATTCTGGAAGCCCAACACTGTAGAACGATTTACCGCTTCGTCGCATAATGAGACCGAGCATGCAGAACACGAGTGAACGTTGTTTGGATAGGGGCAGGCCACACCAAGAAAGAGCGAAACTGAATCCAAGATACGCGATAGGTATGCCCTGTCAGGGTGGCTACCTTTGTCATCGCGGGGTACTTCCTCAGTTGGCTAGAAGATTGAAGCCTATGACTGAAGGTTTGAAGTGGCCTTCATGAGGATGCGCAGAAACAAGTGGGTGGGCCCCTTCCTTCTCTCACCAGAAAACTGTGTTTGCAGTCTGAACCTCATCGAGTCCCTCGATACTTCCTTCGCATGGCCAACCCCAGCCTACACTTTCAAGAGGGTCTAGACTTCAGAAACAACTGCCAATTGCAAATTCGATCTGTTTCCGAGACATCAACCAACCATCCCGCGAGAAACCAGCGATGGAGTGCCGGTTCCAACGGAATTCCACAGGTGGTGTCACTTCAAAATTCTGAAGGAGGAACGGGTTATCTCCCTACTACCATGTAGAAAATTTTACAACTCTGGTTCAGCCTGGGCGCATGTGTCCACAAAGAAAACACTCAATTTTCATGCGCCCTGCTTCCATATCATCCTGCCAATCCCAAGTTCAACTTTGCTAAGCGGCCAAAGGATGATTTGATTGAGCGAATATCCGTGGGTGCCTCAGCTGGTCGCAACTGCGTGGCCACTTTCTCTGCAGCAAGGGGGGTCCCTGAGAATGGTTCAAGTGACTAAGTGACTGGGAAAAGCAATCGCAGCGTGGCTTTCGCTGGCTGGAAACACAGCGACAAAACCGTTGTAACCTGCAAAAACAGTCCGAGTAATGGGTCAGAGAAACCACTTGACGGCCTTGAATGTTTGTTGTGGGTCTTGCCTGGTCTCTCGCCCAGCTGCTCACGATCTCGTTGAGGTTCTTTGACCACACGAGGTTGCAAACCTGGGAGCCCGTGTCGATGGAAGAGAGCGGCATGTTGTTCACCGTGTTCCAGAAACGGATGCACCTGGCAGTGGGCTGTGGCAGCGGGCGATCTCCTCTCGTCGAGCGCTTATTCTTGATGGCACCTCAGCCTTTCGTGGATGGATGCGTGGGTCAGAAAAGGTTGATTCTTCACTACTCTTGCTGACAGCCGTCTGCGGCGCCAAGTGCCAAGGAGGAGGAATCTTCTGATGACTGGTGTTTCTTCCACAGGATGTATTTTCCAAAAACCAAATTTGAGAACTCAGGCCAAAGCTGAACTTTGTATTACAGAAAAACAGTCTCGCCTGTCAGCAGTGCCCCCGCCGGAAGCCAACCTCAAAGAAAAAAAAACGTGGAACCAATGCGATGGCTTTGACGCGCGCGCGCGTTCGCAACCCAAAATATGCCGACACCCCAGTTTGGGGTTGTAGGAAAGAACATGACAGATTTGATCGGATTTGATCATGGGCTTAGTCGTGGGGCTGCGGGCTGCGCGGCTGAGCCCGCAAATCACGAGTTTTGGTTTGGCCGAGCCGCAGTCCATGCTGGTGCGGCGACCAAGCAATCGCCTGCAGCAGTGCACAAGTGACATTAGACAGCGGAACGCTGTTGCTTTTCTATGTGTTTGGAAGCGCGTGTGCACCGGTTGCATGGGAGGCATCATGATTGATACAAATAAAACCAACTGACACTGGGTTCCTGTGGTAAGGCAACTCAAGCGCCACAACGCATAGGCTCACACTTGTGTTGCTGCAAAAAAATCACCATCATTCATTCCAGTGATGCGACGCCTCAGTGACCAACTTTGCTAGGCTGGTGTTTTATATAACAAATTTATGGCCTTTTGGTTGCTAGAGCTATTCAAAAAGTCCGAAACTACTTAGAACTATTCCTTATCTTGCGACACCTTTTCTATATTTTTTCGAATCCTGTGGGAACTGTTTCGTGGCCAGTTCATAATTCAGATGGCATGAGCAGTTACAACCGCTGTTTCTTCTGACGTTTCTAGTGGTGGTGGAAGTACTCGTAGTAGTAGTAGTAGTAGTAGCAGGAGTAGTAGTAGTAGTAGTAGTAGTCGTAGTGGTAGTGGTAGTGGTAGTGGTAGTGGTAGTAATAGTAGTAGTAGTAGTATTGGTACTGCTAGTGGTAATGGAAGTGGTGTGGTAGTGGTTGCCGGTAGTGGTGGTAGTATTAGTAGTAGTCGTAGTAGTAATTGTTGTTTTGTTGTTGTTGTTGTTAATGTAGTGTTAGTGGTGGAGGTGGTAGTAGTAGTACTAGTAGTAGTGGTATTGAGTAATAGTATATGGGTAGTAGGAGTAGGAGCAGGAGTAGGAGTAGGAGTAGGAGAGCAGTACGTAGTCGTAGTAGTAGTAGTAGTAGTGGTAGCAGTAGTAGTAGCAGTAGCAGTGGCAGTAGTATAGTAGTGGTAATAATAGTAGTGGTAGTAGGAAAGATCAGATTATTGGTAAATAGTTGTAGATTCTTAGGCGCGTTTGTCTTTGTCGTACTTTCTTTCTTTTTTTTGGCTTGTGGACGCCGCCTCGAAAGATGCCGTGTTGCCTGTTAACCTGTGTGTGTGTGGGTCGGCTAGGTAGACGGGTGCAAAGAGATTTACTATTTCGATTTCGTTTTCATTCCATGCGGATTGAAGAAAGATAGCAAGGCTACGAACAGTCTTAATTCTCGACTTGTTGACGGCAGCTCAAAGTGAATGAATTGTGAGCCAGGTTGCTCATTTTGTGAGGTTGCCAATGTTTCATAGCATCTGTTGTATCTTTCGAAGTTATGGAGAATCGAGCGAATCGAGAATCGAGAGCCGAGAAAACCGAGAGAATCGAGAATCGAGAGCCGAGCGAGAAATCGAACGTCGAGAATCGAGCGAATCGAGTATCGAGAATCGAGAGAATCGAAACCGAGAGAATCTAGAATCGATAGAACCGAGAATCGAGAGAATCGAGAATCGAGCTGTCAAGCAGGGTCTGAAAATATGCGGTATAGCTTAAATCAAGTCTAGCCAGGCAATGCAATGCAAGGTTTCAAGTGTTCAAGATGGGAGGCGGAAACTCCTGATTCCTTCTTCACTCACGCTGGCAAGCTCATGTGTGGCAAAGAGCTTGCAGCTTGCAGCTGCGTTGTGGTCTGTTTGATTCGCAAGCCGGCAGTCCTGGAATGTTTTTTTCCCGAAAGCACCTGCGAGGGGTTTTCTTCCAAAGGACATCTGCTCACATCATCTTCCAACATAATCTCTATCATCATCGCTACTATCACATCATCATCATCATCATCATTATCATCATACATCAGACATCATACATCAATAAATCATGCCATTGGAAATCACCTACGAAAAACACTTCTAACACTTCGACTCGACTTCTTCATAAGTTTCTTTCTACTTTCAAGGCGGCGGGCAGGTCCGGCCGGAGCTCACGAAACGAAACCAGACCCTCTGCGGGGATCGTGCGCGTCGAGTGCTCAAACGTGTGGTGAAACGTCGATCGCGTTTATGCCCGAGCAACCCTATGCGGGGATGGTGGGTGTCGACACGTGATTGTTGGAGGAAGTCTTGTACGAAACGCTCGTTTTGGAGACTTTGACACGCGACTTTTGGAGGAAGTC